CATTCTTGCCTAGTTCCTAATCTTAGAAAGAAAGCATTCAGTATCTTAACAGTAAGTATAATGTTGAATGTCAGGGGGTGGGGGTGGGGGGCAGGGGGCGGTTAGATGGGTTTTGTCTGTTTGAAGAAATTTTCTTCCATTTCTCATTTGCTGAGAGTGTTTATTATAAATGGATGTTGAATTTTATCAGGTGTTGTTTCCATCTGTTGAGATGAACAGATGATATTTTTTCTCCTTTTTTTCAGAAATATTGTGAAATTCATTGATAGTTGGATGTTAAACCAACCTTGCATTCTTGGGATCAACTTTACTTGGTGTTATATGTATATTATACTTTATATATATTATTGGATTTAATTTGTTAATATTTTATTGAGGGTTTTATATCTGTGTTCATGAGGGATATTGATCTGTAATTTTTATTTCTCATATTGCTGTCAGCTTTTGGTATCAAGTTTATTCTGGCTTCATTAAATGAATTAAGAAATGATCCTTCTTTATTTTCTGAAAAAGTTTGGTTAAGATTGGTATTACTTCTTTATTAAATGTTTGATATAATTCATCAGTGAAACCATTTTGGCCCTGGAGTTTTCTTTTGGGAAAATTTTTAATTTCCTATTAAATTTAAAAAATAAATATAGGACATTTCAGGTTTTCTAGTTCTTCATGAGTCAGTTTTACCAAGATATGTATGTAATCATGTTTCTTCTTTAATTCCTGATAGTGGTAATTTGTGTCATCTCTTTTTCTTGGTCAGTCTGACTGTAGGTTTATTCATTATTATCTTTTCAGAAAACCCATTTGCTTTTAATTTCTTCTCTAGTGTTTTTCTGTTTTCTCTTTCATTGATTTGTCTTCATTTCCTTCCTTCTGCTTGATTTGTGCTTAATATGATCTTTTTTTTTCTAGAATCTTAAAGCAGAAACTTTGATCATTGATTTTAGACCCTTTATTTCTAATATGATCATTTAATGCTGTAGATTTTCTTTCTTTTATGCCTGGATTTATTAGCATGCCACAAATTTTTGTGTGTTTTTACTTTTAAGTTAAAAATATTTCCTAAAGCCCCTGTTTCCTAGCTCCAACATTTGGGTCTTCTCTGAATCTGACTCTGTTGATTGCTTTGTCTCTAGACACTTTTTTGTTTTGTTTTGTTCAGTTTAATAATTTTTTTTTGAGACAGAGTCTTGCTCTGTCACACAAGCTGGAGTGCAGTGGTGCAATCTCAGCTCACTGCAACCTCCACGTCCTGGGTTCAAGTGATTCTTGTACTTTAGCCTTCCAAGTTGCTGGGATTATAGGCATGTGCCACCACAGCCAGCTAATTTTTGTATTTTTAGTAGAGACAGGGTTTTGCCACATTGGCCAGGCTGGTCTTGAACTCCTGACTTCAGGTGATCTGCCTGCCTTCACCTCCCAGAGTGCTGGGATTACAGGCATGAGCCACCACTCCCAGCCTGTTCAGTTGGTTTTTGCTATGTCTCGTAATTTTGGGTTATCTATAAAATAGTAAGAAACTGAAATCAGTAGGTTTAAAGCTTATAAATTGGTACACCTCTCCTATCTGGTATTAGTTTAAGGATTTGAGTTTATTTAGTCAGAGGTTACGCTGGGATTGAATTTTTAATTTGTTATAAATACCTTCATTACACTACAGGCCTCTAATGCTAGAGGAATTTGAGGCCTCTAACACTGGAGGAATTTAAGGCCTGTAGTACAGTGTGTTTAGGGTGGAAGTGGAGTGTCAAATGGTTTTTGTGAATGTTTGTGCCCCACTTTGCATGCCTACTCCTTAGAGGGATTTTCTTCTCACTCTTTCCTCTTGTCAGTTGTAAACTGGTGTTGCTTGTTACTCAGTCCTTTCAAGATTGGTAGAGGAGAAGGAACAGAAATGGTTCTTGGTTGTTACAGCATAGCCTTGGTTTTAGGTAGATTATGTGTGCGTGGACCTCGCATGGAACTTTGTCAGAATTCCCTCCCCTTTTCCCTGTGGCAACCAAACTGCTTTGGATCTTTTTGTGTGGCAGTTTCTGCTCCCTCCCCCAGCAATTGCAGACCTCTAGTCATACTGATATAAGATTCTGAGCCTAGGACTGTTCTTGTCACCTTTCCTCCCAGGAATTGAAGGTTTTTCCCTCCCTCAGCAATGAGACGTGGGTTTGCTTCCCCTTCCTCAGTGGCTGAAGGCTTTTGCTCTGTGTGAAGGAAGGATCTGGACAGGGTGGCGGGCCTTTGTTCCTTTCTCACATGGCAGCTAATTCCTTGTACCATTGAGAGAGGCTCTTGATCTTCTGCCTTGTTTCCTTTTTTTTCCCCTCTGCCTTGTTTCCAGTTGTTTTCATGGGCACCCAGTGGCAGTCTATGGGCAAGAGGCTGTGAGTGCCAGTTGCCTGGGACTCTGCTGGGTTTCATACTATCAAGCTACCCCACACTCAGCTTGAAGTGATCCTTAAAATTTTAGCATATTACTTCTGCTTGTATGACAATAGTAGTTTCCTCTTGCTGCCTGCCACAAATGAGCCATTTCTGGTACCTTGTTACCTTTTGTAAGCATTTGTTGATCCTTGGATTCAGGCTACTTAGTTATTTTGTAACTTTAGCTCTCTTACAGGTTCAAGAAAAGTTTTCAGTAATTTACAAGTGTTTTGTTTAATTGCCAGTATTCTAGGATTTTCCAAATCTTCTATTACTGATTTTAGTTTAATTGCATTGTGGACAAAGAACGTATGTTGTATACTTTGGATTCTTTTAAATGTATGAAGACTTACTGTATGGTCCAGGATTTGGTCTATCTTAGTGAACATTTCATGTACAATTGTTAGGTGAAGTGTTCTATGACAGTGAGTGCAAGTTGGTTTAAATTGTTCAGATCATCTATACTTGCTGGTTTTGTCTATTTTTTCTGGTTTTGTCTATTTTTTTCTATCAGTTAATGAGAGCAGTGTTAAAAATCTCCAACTATGGTGGTGGTTCTGTTGATTTCTCTCTCATTTATTTTCAAGGTCTGCTATTTTGGATTGTTGTGACTTCTTGGTGAATTAACCCTTTTATTATTATGAAATGTGCCCTTTTCCTCTGGAAATGCTTGTTTTGAACTCTTATTGTAAGACTAGCCTCTCTGGCCAGGTGCGGTGGCTCACGCCTGTAATCCCAGCATTTTGGGAGGCCAAGGTGGGCGGATCACGAGGTCAGGAGATCGAGACCATCCTGGCTAACATGGTGAAACCCCATCTCTACTAAAAATACAAAATAAATAAATAAATAAATAACTGGGCATAGTGGCGGTCGCCTGTAGTCCCAGCTACTCAGGAGGCTGAGGCAGGAGAATGGCATGAACCTGGGAGACGGAGCTTGCAGTAAGCCGAGATTATGCCACTATATTCCAGCCTGGGCAACAGGGCGAGACTTCATCTCAGGAAAAAGAAAAAGGAGTAGTCTCTCAGCTGTACTTTCTGTTGGTTTATTGGGTTTGAGTTTATTTATTTATTTATTTACTTTTAGCAGGTCTTACTTTGTGCATTCATGGTTTAGAGTTAGCCAAGGATGTGGGGGGAGTTTGCACACAGATTTTGGGGGTTCGTCTTCTGGCTTCCTTTCTTTGATTTTTTTTATCCTCACTGGCTGGCTGTGCTGGCAGCTTCAGTCTCTGTCTATTAAGACTGCTGCTTTCTGCTTGAGCTCTATCCTCTGCTTGTGTCCATTCCTGTTTCTGCCTACTTTTGGTGGATCTTCAGTGTTTTTAAGTATAGCAGTTTTCTTTAATGTATCGTCTAGAGTTATAATTGTTAGTGTCAGGAAGATTAGTCTGATACAAAGTATTATGCCATATTTAGTACCAGAATTCCTCTAGTCTCTCTTAATTTAGAATAGCTCCTTTATTTTTTTTTCAATCCCTGCTACCTTGACTTTTTGAAGACTCTTGGCCAGTTTTCTTATAAAAGTTTCATAATCAGGATTTGTCTGATTGTTTCCTCATGGTGATATTTATTTAACTTGTTCCTCTATCCCTTGTATTTCCTGTAACCTAGAATTTAGATTAGGAGACTTGATTGGATTTGGGTTAAACCGTTTTTCCTTCATAGATCATTCGTATGCTTCCTGTTGATTTATATCACCAAGAACATAATATTTCGTTGTTCCAGGGTTGGTGATGATTAGTTAGATCACTTGATTAAGATGGTGCTCTGCACTGTAAAGATTTGTTCTTATCTTTGTAATTAATAGATAATCTCTGGGGTGGTAATTTGCATCCTCTTCATTTTTCACATCATGTCCAGATATCACTTCCTAAAATTTATTCTAATCAGATGCCAGCACAGAGCAACACTTAACAAGCATTAGCTGCTATTATTAAGGTCCCATTTCCCAACCATAAGTCTTTATAGTATCTAGTTTATATATACCATATATACTTTAATCATATCTCATACTGTGTTGTAGTTATAAAGACATATCTTTCTTTTCTAGATTTTGGGGTACTGAATGCAGATATCACATCTTACAAATCTTTGGGTCTCCCATAGCACTTAACTAGCATTTTGCATATAGTAGGCACTCAGTAATTATTTTTTGTAGGAAGAAAATATTAGCTAAGAATATGCCCAAAGCATTTTTTTCTTTAGACATTTTAAATTTCTCTGTCTTGGCCGGGTGCAGTGGCTCACACCTGTAATCCCAGCACTTTGGGAGGCCGAGGCGGGCAGATCAGAAGGTCAGGAGATCGAGACCATCCTCACTAACACAGTGAAACCCCGTCTCTACTAAAAACACAAAAAATTAGCCGGGCATGGTGGCAGGCGCCTGTATTCCCAGCTACTTGGGAGGCTGAAGCAGGAGAATGTCGTGAATCCGGGAGTTGGAGCTTGCAGTGAGATGATATTGTGCCACTGCATTCCAGCCTGGGCGACAGAGCAAGACTCTACCTCAAAAAAAAAAAAAAAAAAAATTTCTCTGTCTTGAGTACTGGTTAAATTTAATGTCAATTACATTTTCTTTTGTAGGTAAATGAGAAAACGGGACAGATTATACAGTATGATAAATTTTATATACATGAAGTACAAGAATTGATAGACATAAGGAATGATTATATCAACTGGGTCCAACAACAGGCCTATGGAATGGTAGGTTTTCTGTGCAATTTGTGATTTCATTTTTATGTATCATTTTTATGTATATGTATCTAATAAAAAAAAGAAACAATTACTTGGTTTTGAAATGAGAAAGTTTTTTCAGAACTTTTATCCAGAACTTACTTTTTAAATAAAAAACATTGCAAAAGGAGTGCTATATATTATACAGTATTTATATACAAACATTCTACTCTTTTACCAAAGCCAAACCAAAGAGATGGATTACACTTAAAAAAAAGAAAAACTGCAAATGTGAAATGGATTTTTAACTCATTTATTTTCCATGAGATTGCCTCTTATTTCTCCAATGTTGAACATACTGGCATTCTTCATACTGGAACCCCTAAGAATGCATTATTGTTATGAAATTGGTGCTTCAAGACTACCAAAAGAGGGCTGGGTGCGGTGGCTCATGCCTGTAATCTTAGCACTTTGGGAGCCCGAGACAGGTGGATTGCCTGAGCTCAAGATTTCAAGACCAGCCTGGGCAACATGACAAAACGCCATCTCTACTAAAAATACAAAACATTAGCCATGTATGGTGGTACATGCCTGTAATCCCAACTACTCAGAAGGCTGAGGCATGAGAATCACTTGAACCTGGCAGGTGGAGGTTGCAGTGAGCTGATTATGTGTTTACCTTTATTTCAGATTTTTTATATAAATGTGGGTGCACACATCTTTTTATGTGGCTAAGTCTTTAATAACTACACACTTAATATCCCATTAAAATAGTACCATGGTCTTACATAAAACTTGAATTAGGCACATAAAATTTTAATGCAGAAATGGGTAAGCAGCTAGATACAAAATATTTAGGTTTACTATTCTTATTTGCTAGCCATTTTTGTATACTTGAGGCCCACTTTTCTGCACATAGGTAATTTAATATGTATGCAGCAGTTATATAATAGAAGGGTGAGTAACCTTTCATTGCTTGCTAGGCACCAGCTTGTAAGCTTCTTGTGGATGGGTATGTCAGTCAACCAGCACCTGTGACAGTGTTTACAATATGTCTAGTAAGCACTAAAAAAGTATAGTAGTTTTTGAATGGCAATCTGGCTACTGCATGCTATTTTTAGGATACTCCCACCTCCCAGAATCAGGTTGCTTCTAGACATCTTTTCCTTAGTGCAGTTGGGTCTGTACTGGGAGAGACTCATTGACTCTTCTCCTGAGTCACCTTGAGGCTGGGTCAGGTTTATAGACATTCTGTAGATTTAGGTGTACTCACTTGCTTATTCAACAAACAATGAGAATCTGTTATATAACAGGCACTGATTTAGGTATTGGAAATACAGTGCTGAACCAGGCAGAGCCTTGTTTCTCCTGGAATTCATAATCTAGTGGGCAAGATTAGCAATAGTCAAACAAGGCAAAAAATACCAGCTAATAATATGTACTTTTAAAATGAGGGGACTTAGTAAAGATAGGTTTCAGAAAAGACTTGTCTAATGAAGTATGAGTATTAATCTGAATGACAAGGAGCAGCCCTTTAAGATCAGGGCAGAGAGAATTTCAAGAACAATGAACATTTGTTCATTTCACTTTGTGAACATAGTTCACAAAGCTATATTTTAGTAGATTAGGGGAGAGGAAATGATGAGTTTGACTAGGATGATGGTTGTTTAGATGGAAGAAGGAAATGGACTTGGAATACATCTTGGAGATAAAAGGGAATCTTGGCGACGAAAGGAAAATAAAAATCACTGATGGATTGGATATGAAGTGAGGAAAGGACCTTAGGTGAAAACAAGCTTGACATGATTGAAAGATAGAAAAAAGCCAGCATGGGGACGGGCGTGGTGGTTCACGCCTGTAATCCCAGCACTTTGGGAGACCAAGGTGGGCGGATCACAAGGTCAGGAGTTGGAGACCAGCCTGGCCAACATAGTGAAATCCCGTCTCTACTAAAAATATGCAAAATTAGTCGGGCGTGGTGTTGGGCGCCTGTAATCCCACTACTCAGGAGGCTGAGGCAGGAGAAAAGCTTGAACCCAGGAGACGGAGGTTGCAGTGAGCCTAGATCGTGCCATTGCACTCCAGCATGGGCGACACTGCGAGACTCCATTTCAAAAAAAAAAAGAAAAGAAAAAGAAAGGAAAAGAAAAGAAAAGAGCCAGCATGGCTTATGGGAGTGAGGAGGGAACAGAGAAATGGGCAGGGGCCAAATCATAGACAGTTTAGTAAACTAGGATTAGGAATTTGGATTTTATCTAAAGTGTTACGATAAACGGTGGAAACTTAATCTGATCTTTTTGAATAATCACTTTGTTGGCTTTGTAGGGAACAGGACAGACATGAAAGATGGAGATCCATGAGAAAGCTATGTTTTAGTAGATTAGGGGAGAGGAAATGATGAGTTTGACTAGGATGATGGCTGTTTAGATGGAAGAAGGAAATGGACTTGGAATACATCTTGGAGAGAAAAGGAAATCTTGGTAACAAAAGGAAAATAAAAATCACTGATGAATTGGATATGAAGTGAGGAAAGGAGAGAAATCCACAAAGATTAAAAAGCAGGTGTGGTAGGGGGAAAACTAGGAGAGTCTTGGAAACCATAATTTAAAAGTGAAAGAGAGACTGTTGAATGCTCCAGAGAAGGAGGATGAAACCATAGTATTGACAGTGAATTTGGTTACATGAAGGTAATTGGTAACCTTGATAATACCATTCTAGGGTTGGGGTGTTGTAAAGAGAAATTTAGAGGTAAGGAAGTAGTAACAACCATTGGCAATACTTTGAAGAAGTTCTACATTGAAGAGGAGCAAAAAAAAAAAAAAAAAAAAAAAAAAAAAAAAAAAAATGGAGTAGCTGGAATCAAGGGATAATTTTTTAAGAAAGAAAATAATTGACCTCAGCGGAGTTTTGAATAAATATTTCCTTTTTTCTTCATCTCTGACCTAGGTAAAGCTTCTCAAACTCTTCCTTCAGAGAACCTGTGAAGGCAGGAGAAATAACATATCTCTTAAGGATTTAACCTTCCCTCAGCAAGACTTGAACTGAGGCTAATTTTCTGTCTTTAAATGCAAATTTTGCATTATGGGCATAATAGATATTTATTGCAATATAAAAGAGATTTAATGTATTTGCCATTGAGGAAAATTGGTTCTTCAGGAAATGAACCTTGTTCATACCAAGACTTTGCATATAAACCCTCACACACCAAGCAGGGTACCCTAGGTCTTTTAGCAGTGTTTTTGAAAGGATTCAGAACATTTGGAGGGATATGTGGACCCTTTTAAAGAAGAACAATTTCTTAAGAAGCCCAGTGTTCACTTACATATTATATAAATATATACACACATTAAACTAGTACTAAACTCTTGGTGCTCAGTTCTTATAAGAACTCTAAGACCACAACAAATTTATAATTATAAATAACATTACAGTCTGGATGTGGTGGCTCACATCTGTAATCCCAGCACTTTGGGAGGCTGATGTGGGCAGATCATCTGAGGTCAGAAGTTCTAGACCAGCCTGGCCAATATGGCAAAACCCCATCTCTACTAAAAATACAAAAATTAGCCAAGCGTGGTGGCGGGCACCTGTAATCCCAGCTACTTGGGAGGCTGAGGCAGGAGAATGACTTGAACTCGGGAGGCAGAGGTTGCAGTGAGCTGAGATCGCGCCATTGCACTTCAGCCTGGGCGACAGAGTGAGACTCCATCTCAAAAAATAAATAAATAATAAATAACATTACAAATTGGAAAATTTATTATGGAGGATGTTGTGATGATTAAGAATCCTAGCTCACAACATAAATATGTATGATGAGAAAGCAGAGTAACTTTTATGAAAAAGTGCCTGGGTTCAGATCCCACCTCAGCATATATTCAGTTCTGTCCTTGGGAAAGTTACTTAATTTCTCTGAGATTTCATTTTGTTTTCTGTAAATTAGAATATTAGTACCTACCTTAAAAAATTTTGAGAAGATTAATTTATATGATCCCTCCGAAGGACTTAGAGTAATTTCTGGCACATAGTTAAGTTGTTATAAGATGGTGATTGTTATTGCTGGCTACCTTGACACAGGCTACAAATTTGGCAGTAGCTTTTATTCTGACTTGCCTAATAACTGTTCTCTTGCTGCCTTTCTCTATGTGCACTACAATGAAACATTTTCTAGGAGTACTTTCTAGGTACTATTCTCAGTTTCCTTATCCTCCTTTAACTTTGCTTTTAAATTGTTTGTAAAAATACCTTATTGGTTACTACCAAACTCTTTGCCATTTTTTCTTCCCTTTCTGATACTTTTAATTATCTTTATCTGCTTTTTCCTTTGGTGCTTCTCTCTCTTAGAAAAATGATTTTATCTAATGTCTAATCATCTCTTTTTCTCAAGTTTTGCATGTCCTATTATTTTTCGTATTCTTGCCAGTTCACGTCTTTCTCTTCCAATTTTTAGTGTAACCAGATTATATTCTGCTTAGTATGGGTTAGTCACACTATAAATTCTAACATTATCTTATTGACTTCCCCAATGTATAATGATATGGATAGCATCTATATCTACTTACATGTAGTAATAAAAAAGATAATGCATAAATACTAATATTTCATTATTTAGCTAAGGAGGAAATCCATCTCCCATACTATAAACTCCCTTGGTATATAGTACAGTTATCAAGCAGGCCATAGATGAATATTTATAGGCTTTTTTTTTCTTATTTAAACTTTCTTACTTAGTAATAGCACTTTTTAAATGTCCTACAAGAGGAATATTGATGTGAAGACTGTGCATGTGTGAGGATAGGGATATATTGGAAGCCTCTGCACCTTCCTTTCAATTTTGCTGTGAACCTAAAGCTGCTTTAAAATAATAAAGTTCTTTTTTCAACAAAAGTCCCACAAGGTATACTATAAAAGGATTTTGGTTGTTCCTTTTATATTGCCTTCTAGCTAAACTGAGTGTAATCTAAAAGGCTTTTTTGCAGAACAGTCTGTAAAGACTTTCATCTTGTTTACACTGTCAATAGGAGCACTTACGTAGTAATAACTTGGTACTCTGAATTTTTTGAAAGAAATTCTTGTCAATAATATTCTTCCTCTGAATAGGATTTGCATAGAGTGATGTTTTGCTTATGCTTACACACTGCTTTGGCTTTACTTAGCACAGTATAGTGAGAGAACGCAAAGTCTTTGCTATTTGCTAATATCTTAAATCCTCCAATAATCCCCCTGGTGACATGTGGGAACTTAGTCAACTACAGAGTTAAAGAGAACAGTCTGCCAAGACTGCCTTCACTTCTGATACCAATTGTGAGTTTGGGGAGGGTCCCCCAAACTATCCTTAGGTTTGATAATTTGCTACAAGACCTCCTAGAACTCACTGAAAATTGTTACACTGATGATTAGAGTTTATTACAGAGAAAGGATAGTGGGTTAAAATCAGCCAAGGGTCCTTTTGACTCTCTGAGCAGCATCATGACATTTGGCAAGAACAAGCACCTTATGAAAGATGACAAATAGTCAGCCAAGGAGTGGTTGATCTACTTTCTAAAAAAGATTGGTATGGTATGAAAGCACATGCTATGTTTAGTGTAAGAAATATTGGAGAGAAACACTAGTCACCAGGACTCAAGGAACCAAAATTATATCTGATGGCTTCAAGGGTTGTGTATATTTGAAGTGAACCTTTCTGATCTGCAAATGATGAAATTGCATTTTAAAAATCCAAGCTGACTACTGAGGATGTTGAGGCGCTAAACTACCTAACTTCCATAGCACGGATATTACCTGTGACAGAATGAGTTGCATGGCCAAAAACTGGTAGATCATGAAAGAAGCTCATGTTAATGTCAAGACCACTGATGGTCATTTGCTTCGTCTGTTCTGTGTTGGTTTTACTAAGCAACACAACAGTCAGATACAGAAGGCCTCTTACTCTCAGCACCAACAGGTCCGCCAAATCCAGAAGAAGGTGATGAAAATCATGATCCAAGAGGTTCAGACAAGTGACTTGAAAGAAGTGGTCAATAAATTGATTCCTGACAACATTGGAAAAGATAAAGAAAAGGCTTGCCAGTCTATTTATCCTCTCCATGCTTGTCCTTGTTAGATAAGTAAAAATGCTGAAGATGCCCAAGTTTGAATTGGGAAAACCAGGGAACTTCATGGTGATGGTAGTAGTTCTAGAAAGGCTACTGGGGATGTGACAGGTGCTAAAGTTATATGAGCTGATGGATGTGGACCACAAATACAAGAATCTTTAAAATTCAGGCTTTTGGCTGGGCACGGTGGCTCACGCCTGTAATCTCAGCACTTTGGGAGGCTGAGGCGGGCGGATCACGAGGTAAGGAGTTCAAAACCAGCCTAACCAACATGGAGAAACCCCTCTCTACTAAAAATATAAAATTAGCCAGGCCTGGTGGCACATGCCTATAATCCCAGCTACTCGGGAGGCTGAGGCAGGGGAATCGCTTGAACCCCGGAGGCAGAGGTTGTGGTGAGATGAGATGGCACCATTGCACTCCAGCCTGGGCAACAAGAGCCAAATTCCATCTCAAAAAAAAAAGACGGAGAGAGAAAAAAATTTAGGCTTTTAATAGTGACAAATGAAAAGTTCCATCTGTGAAAAAAATCAGCCAAAATCTGCACATAGGGGAGAGTCTGGGAAAGATAATCAGAGGCAGAGTTTCTGTTGTCCTTTCCTTGTAGAGTCGTGAATGAATTACTTTCCTGGCATAGATGTGTGATACAGAGTATTTCCAGGCAAGGAAGCTCACCAGAAACCTGGTGCCCAGAGTTTTTACTGGGGTTCAGTCATATCCTGCTCATGTAGGGACCTCTAGTTCCCAGCTCTTCTGGAGGCAGAACTGACAGCACATGACCCAAGCCCCTATCATAAGTCACATTGTCCGGTGGCTAAAGCCCCAGGCAAACAAAGACACTCCTATCAGGCTTGATATTCCACAGGTCTGTAGGTCGCCTCCTAGTAACCTAGGGCAATGCACTCTTCTGGGGTCAAATTAATTCCTCATAACACAAAGTGCCATCCACATGTTTAATAACATAGTTCTGAATATTCTGGTGCTTTACATGAGTCTGTGCTCTGAGCATATATGGAAGCTTTCTACAAGAAAATGTACATTTCTGTTCAATAAAGTGGTAAGCTTTCATTGTAATTTGCACTATTACTTCCTTAATAAATATATCTTTCTTTATTTATTTTTGCTTACCAACCCTTTTGCCCTGTCCTGTACTTTCTATTTTAAATTAATTCAGTTTTAAAGAATGTTTAATGTAAGATACCTTATGTTTTACTGTTTTTTTCTGTCCAATAGAAACAATTTATTCCTTATTTTTTCTCACTTTCTGTCCATATAGCATTTTAATCTACTAAACACTGTCAAACATTTTGCTGAGATTTTAGAAGTCTTAAAGTCTGAAGAATGTTTTTTCTATTTTTTAAGTAGAAAAACTGAGCCATAAAATTATTTTTTTAAGACCAATCCAGGCATAGGATTCGTTTTCTTGTTCTGCCTAAATTCTGCAAATGGGGGTGTTTAATTGCTGAAAACAAATTTCATTATGTTCAAGCTCAATAATTTTATGATCACAAGGTACCTGAAACCAAAGATCTTACATTTATAGATAAATATATATAAGATGCATGTGTAGGGGGTGTATTTTATTGTAGATGTATTTTCTACCTCATTACTTCAATATTCTGCTGTAGCAAAATATATGAAATGCTACCTTGAATAGAAATAGTTAAATTTGGACACTAACATTGCTCTTTCCTCGTTATTGTTATATTCTGCACTGCTGTCTTAGGATGTCAACCATGGATTAACTGAGGTAAGTTTGGTGTAATAAAGCTCATGTTCAGAGTAAGATATACTCCATTTTCTCCTAAGTAATAGGAGAGCCAAAGATTCCTTTTTTGTTGTGGTTTAAAAATGTAAATAAATATATATGTATCATATTTAAAAATCGAGTCTGTAGAGATTAACTTGTATAACATTTTAGAAGTTTTCTGAAGAAAATGAAATTCTGTTAACATTCCACCTATATAATGCCTCAACAATATTTGCTTCAGATCTATCCTCCTCAGGTCTTCCAGTATAAAATGTAATGTGTCCTCAGAATATAAAAAAGCAAACTTTTATTTTAAAATTTAGCAAATGCCTACCTAATGTGGCTGAAAACATTTTATAGTAGAGAAGTAAAACAAATATCATTTTTAAAATTGATTAGTTGATACTCAGAATGGTCACAAAGTTAAACTTTTTGTATGATTATCTTTCTCACTTCTAATATACAAAGTTCTAGCACTTTGGTTTAAGTAATCAACAACCCTAGACTACCCTTTTAACACTTGGGAACATTATAAAACTTTCTTTTTCTGTTATAGATGTTAGGTTTTGCTTTGATTTGCTTTTTGTTCGTTGTTATGTTTTTTCCAGCACTTGAACCAATGAAGCATTTTGAATTAGCCTTAAATTATAGCTCTAATATTGTTTGCTTCCTCATTGTCAAGTATAATTAGCACATAAAAATTTGAAAACAGAGTTTTGAAGCCAAAGGGTACTTTAGAGATATCTAAATCTTTTTGAATTTCGAAGAAGTAAAATTGGTATTTATGATCATTAGCTAGGCAGTGCCACAAATATAGGATGGAGGTAAACCTTGTCACATGAAAAATACTGAAGAGTGAATGTTTAGAATGGAATAAAATACAATTTAGGGAGAGCGTGATTAGGACTTCAAATATTTAAACTACGTACACTTCCAGCAGGGGCAAAACAAAGACTAAATGATGCACAGTGAAACACAGAAATGCAGATTCAGGCCGGGCGCAGTGGTTCACGCCTGTAATCCCAGCACTTTGGGAGGCCGAGGCTGGCACATCATGAGGTCAGGAGTTCAAGACTAGCCTGGCCAACCTAGTGAAACTCCATCTCAACAGCGGGCACCTGTAATCCCAGCTACTTGGGAGGCTGAGGCAGGAGAATCACTTGAACCCAGGAGGCAAAGGTTGCAGTGAGCCTAGATTGCGCCATTGCACTCCAGCCTGGGCGACAGTGCGAGACTGTCTGGAAAAAAAAGAAAGAAAAAGAAATGCAGATTCAGACTATAAAGAACTATCTAATCACTACGGAGTGGATTGTTTTATGGTGTATTAATTCTTCATTAGAAGTCTTATAGCAGAGGCTCTGAGTCAGGGCAGGCACAAAGATATTGTCTTATTGGGTAGATGGTGGAAGTAGGTCCTCCTCCAACTACAAGAATATGTGACTGGCAATTCATAACTCTTTATATTTTACTGTACTGTTAAAATACTTAGCAATCAATACATTACCTACTAGGATAAATAATTGTCTATGAAGTGTTTAATGTCTTATAATGGTAATAATAGATCAGTTTTCCTAACTTTAAAGGCTAACAGAATAGTAATACTAAATGGTACTTTTTTGCATATTAAGTAAGTGAACAAATGTTGGACTCATAATAATTTTGACATCCTAATGACATTATACTCAATAAATATCTGTTAAGTGAAGGAATAGACAGATTACTTATTAGCCTCAGTTGCTGCAGTTGAATTGACTACAGTATTTAACATAGGAGCCCTAATTTTAGAACAAATTTGCAGCCTCATTCACTGAGATTTGCAATTAACATATGCTAAGCAAAAGATACTTGCAGTATGTGATTGTATAGACTCTCAAGTATACAATTGCCCCCTAAAATTGGGAATTGGGTTTATTCCAATGCCTCATTTAATTTTTAATAATTCTGTAAGCAGCATGTTTTATTTGTAATTCCAGAACCACGAGTGAATAAACAATGTAGTCCACTTTATAAGAAATGACAGCATCCACAATAAGTATATCACAAATCAACTTGTACTAATAAGTTAATTTTTTATTTCCAGTTGGCAGATATCCCTGTTACAATCTGTACATATCCATTTGTATTTGATGCCCAAGCAAAAACTACTCTGTTACAGACCGATGCAGTCTTACAGATGCAGGTAAAATATTGTGTACTACTAATCTAATTTGAGAGGGGTTTTTTTTAATTGTTTCTTTGATGTTTTTGGACAGTAAATATTTGAAATTTTCCTAGGATCAGTAATGAAGGTACACAAAGTACTTTGGGTAGCTATCAAAAAGATTGCTGCATGTGATATGTATATTCTTATGAGGGCATTTATAAAAAAGGGTTGCAGTGAAAATGGAATAACTTAACCTATCATAATTTTATATATTACAAATGGTATAAGTCTCTTTCATTACAGAAATATTCAGTCTTTATAAACCATTTTACTAGTTTACTTGATAAGATATTGGTTTGTTTCAAAATCTTGTTTCATTATGTGTCCCGTTTTTATATGCTTAGTAAGAGATGGAAGTCACTAGAGGTGAGAGATGTTAAAAGTAGGAAACATTTGATCTCTTATTAGGAAGAGGATGTGAAATTTCCTTGAAGAAAGTTTTAATAATAAGGTATTGGAACATTTTCCTGGGGTTGGTCACCGTTATCTCCTATTCCTCTTTCTTTTCCCCTTCCTATCACCCTTTCCCATCCATTTTATGTTGAACATTCTTTCATTTATAGAGAGGATTTTAAAAACTACTTCATATTATGACTTTAAAGGGTTACAGTAAGTTTGCTTTATCATTTGATCCTGTAAATAAAAAAGATTTTGAGCTGCTTCCTCTGGTATAGAATATCTGACTATACCAACTAAGGATTAAGGAAAGGATGAAAAGAAAGCTTGAATGTTTAATAGTCTAAAAATATTTTTAAAAATTAAAAACCTTCAAATCTTGGTAACCATTTTTATTCTGTTCAAATAAATGCATTTGGTATTCTAAATGTTTTTGTAGTAGTCTGTACTAACAGCTAGTAAACCAGTTTTTTGGAGGTCTTTGTTAAAACAGTAAGTTAATAACTTGGTGATTTTACCATGGGATATTCCATTTTAGAACAAGAACTCAGGGAGAACCATAATAAAAGAACAAAAGTTTTAAATGGTAAAAATCAAATCCTTGGTTCATGAGCACATACCATGATCACTCAGTTAAGTGAATTTGTGTAATACTTCGTTAGCCAGAGCATTCCTTATTCTCTTTGTTTTTTATTTTTTATTTTTGAGATAGAGTTTTGGTCTTGTCACCCAGGCTGTAGTGCAGTAGCACAGTCTCAGCTCACTGGAACCCGTGCCTCCCGGGTTCAAGTGATTCTCCTGCCTCAGCCTTCTGAGTAGCTGGGATTACAGGTGCCTGCTACCGTGCGCTGCTAATTTTGTATTTTTAGTAGAGACAGCGTTTCACCGTGTTGGGCAGGCTGGTCTCGAACTCCTGACCTCAGGTAATCTGCCCTCACTGGCCTCCCAAAGTGCTGGGATTACAGGCGTGAACCACCTCGCCCAGCGTGTTCCTTATACTCTTTAAAGGTTTGTTTTTTTCTCCTCACTCTTTACCCTCCAGTGAATGTTTTTTAGAAAAACTAGGGCTCAGATTTATCAGTGTTACTATAGTTCTGTACTGGCTTACTTTAATGGTGTTATGAGTTATACATTATACATTAATATAAAAGCATTCAAAAGGGTGCTCTTTATGCTCAGTTTATTAAGTTTTTATGCTGTACTGGATACTGCGTTAGGTGCTGTGTTAATTCAGTAGCACAGGAATTATAGAATACCTGAAACTAATAGGTAGAGGTTAGCTTGTTTCAGTCACAGTAGCTTTATTGTAGCATTGCTGTCAAAATGTTAATCTTTTGTTTTCCAGATGGCTATTGATCAGGCCCACAGGCAGAACGTCTCCTCTCTTTTTCTCCCAGTGATTGAATCTGTGAATCCCTGCCTAATTCTAGTGGTGCGTAGAGAAAATATTGTAGGAGATGCAATGGAAGTCCTTAGGAAAACAAAGAACATAGATTACAAGAAGCCACTCAAGGTAATTTGACATTTTCTGTTGTATAATTGGGACTTTTATTCAGAAGCTATGTTTAAAATTTTCCTATTTGTTTTTAGTGAATCTTTGAAACTTAATAAATAAAATTATGTGTATTTTAAACTGTTAATTGTAGAGTATTAGTAATAAATAGCATGTTCTAGGGTCTCCAGAATGTACTTTCATTTCTTTACAGTCTATTCGGTGTTTGCATTGTGCTATTTTAGGTTATATTTGTTGGAGAAGATGCTGTGGATGCAGGAGGGGTGCGCAAAGAATTTTTCTTGCTCATCATGAGGGAATTATTGGATCCTAAGTATGGCATGTTTAGGTATTATGAAGATTCCAGGCTCATTTGGTTTTCTGATAAGGTAAAATGTCCAACCATCTAAATTACTTCTGTGTATATACCCATGTATTTATACCTGTATGTATCAAGTTAATTCATATCAAATAAGGAATTACTACTGGATTCCTAACATATAAGATCTGCTTTATTACAATTTGAAAAATTATAAACTTTGGACTTGGAGTTGTCAAAACACATTTGATGCTTACCACACATTTTAAATTAACAAAATAAATTAAGAGATGGGCAGCCAGAAAATAATGTTGACTATACCTTCTGCTGATTTCAATTTGAGAATTGAATAATAATCACAAGATAACTTTTCTTTTGGGAAAAATTAATTTATCATTAGGGATCATTGATTTCTCTACCTTATCATTTAGAGCAGGTCAGCAGACTATAGCCCATTAGTCTCAAAAAAAAAAAAAAAAAACAAAGTCACACCCACTCTTTCAAGGCTACTTTCACGCTACAACAGCAGAGGCAGAGTTGAAGTAATTACAACAGTGACTCTATATCCAAGAAACCCCAAAATATTTGCCATCTGATTCTTTGTAGAAAGTTTGCTGACCCCATTTAGTGGATCATACTTGAAAAGGATGGATCAGTTTAGTAGAACTCCTGACTTCAAAGAAATTTAAATAGAATAGCTATTGGTTATAAAAACCTCAATGTAATATTTAATCATTCTGCCTGGAGGTTGGCTGTCTTGTGTGATGTTAGCAGTCATTGGTGCTTAGTGCCTAGACTCATTAATTCATCAGGGGTTGCAAAATGGTGTGCTACTCTAATATTTCTTTTTCATTTATTAGCTTGGATACTTCTGTATAGAGAAATTTCCTCACATTTTTTGATTCCTTAGTAGTGCAATTCATAGGAAAGGATTCTATTTGGTTGCCAATTTTTCAAAAGAATGAATTGGTTCATTAGCATGGTCCACTGGTAATAATTCATTTTTTTTTGTTCTGCTTTCAAGTATCATTGTGTATTCATAGGTTTAAACATACTTGATGTTTTTCAATCCACTGCAGTTATTGTCTTTATTGATGCTCATATTGTCCCATCTTTGTTGAAGGAGAGCTCTTAAGGTTGGTGCCCAAGTCCTTTAGAAACAACATATATGCTTTTTGGTACCTTCCTTGCTACCTTGTGTACTTACTATGACAGAATGTTCCAGACTTGTCTTACACATTTACTGCCTAACAATACCAACATTACCACCAGTATTATGACTACTAAAATTTTTTAAATTGTTTTTTCAGTTCTTTTTGTCCTGAAAGGGTATACCCTAATATAGATGGACAGCCAGATAATATAGTTTTGATATCATTTAAAATTGTTACACTCTATTGTTATACCACCAAGGGAATACTCATTTACGCTAACTTGTTTTTAGGGATTACTTGTTCAAATTCAGTTTAGTTTTACAATAATATAAAATATCTATGTAGTTCCAAATTCAAATCTACAAAATAAGATGTGTTAAAAGAAGTCAAGCTCCACCTTGTTCTCCCCCTTCTCCTATGGGTGATCTTTTGAAAATGTATGGGCTATTCTCCTTTAAAATATATATATATGTAGATAGCTCTCTCTCTCTCTCTCTCTCTCTCTATATATATATATATATATATATTTTTTTTTTTTTTTTTGAGATGGAGTCTCGCTCTGTCACCCAGGCTGGAGTGCAGTGGCGCAATCTCGGCTCACTGCAAGCGCCGCCTCCTGGGTTCATGCCATTCTCCTGCCTCAGCCTCCCGAGTAGCCGGGACCACAGGTGCCTGCCACCGCGCCCGGATAATTTTTGTGTTTTTAGTAGAGACGGAGTTTCACCGTGTTAGCCTGGGTGGTCTCGATCTCACGACCTCGTGATCCGCCCGTCTTGGCCTCCCAAAGTGCTGGGATTACGGACATGAGCCACCACGCCTGGCCAGATAGCAATATATTACATACCAAAGTAATTTTCCTGGTTTTTACCCTATGTAAGCTGTTACCACTGGAGAAAACTGAGTGAAGGGTATGGTCTTTGTATTATTTGTGTAATTTATGAGTCTTTAAGATATTTTAAAATAAGTATTTTTTGGCCAGGCACAGTGGCTCACACCTCTAATCCCAGCTGTTTGGGAGGCCAAGGTGGAGGTCAGGAGTTCAAGACCAGCCTGGCCAACATGATGAAACCCCGTCTACTAAAAATACAAAAATTAGCTGGGTGTGGTGGTGCACACCTGTAATCCCAGCTACTCAGAAAGCTGAGGTAGGAGAATCAGTTGAACCCAGTAGGGAGAGGTTGCAGTGAGCCAAGATCGCACCACTGCATTCCAGCCTGGTGACAAAGCAAGACTCTCTTTAGTCACATTTAACTGTTTGGATAGAGGTAAGGACAAGACCAACAGTTGATTTTAATCACGTTTTGGTTTTAGCAAGTGAGTGTAACACAGAAGGGAGTAAAAGGCAAGGGAGTTATTATAATGAGGGATTATGGAATTTCAGCTTTGTGTGGGCTTGATTTGGACAAATAAATTGTGATGGTGGAATTGTATTGAGGGGCTGAGATAAGAAGTCAGAGGTGATGATTAGTTATGGAATGCCTGAAATTGAGATTTGGAGGGTTGTAGTTGAATGTAAGATATAACCATGGGTGTGGTCATTGAGATGTGGTGGAGAACAAGATTGTTGGAAACAGGTTCAGAAACTGAGAGGCTAGTGTGTTGTATGCATTTTTTTTTTTTGTCTGGATATTGAAGTTGCCAAAAGCAGTGGTAGAAATAGTGGTAGAGCAAGAAAGCGTAAGATAGTGCCAAAGTTTGTGAATGAAGGAATTGTGGAAGGTTTTTTATACAACTGCCCAAGGAACAGTTGCAGGGAATATAGTCAGTTGGCCTGTGTTTCAGAGGAGTTGGAAATTTTAGGATGGCAAATGGAAGGAAGTCTAGAAACACCGAAGAGCGAGGAGACCTACCTTAGCTCTAGAAGCAATCGTATAAAGGACTGAAGAGAAAAGTGACACCATTTGTGAGAGCTGCAGAGGAAATGGTGTCCTCAGGAGATAGTCTTGTTTACTTAGACAAAAAGGGGAAAAAAATTGTAGTTTAGGATACAAGCAGTTTTCTAAATGGTAGATTGTGAGTTCCAGAACAGTGAAAGGGTTTGCTAGAGAAAGGACAGTCATAAAATTGTGTCAGACTTGAGGTCATCTCACAGTGCCATATGGTTGTGGGTTTAGGGATAACCTATGAGTTTCGAGGCTTTGTATTTGGTCAGTAAACAGGCATATAAGACATGATGGAGTTAGTCCTATTACCCTCTGAGGTAAGTGGACAATCTGCTCAAATCCTAGCCTCCTTCCTGGCGCTCGTCTCTTTATAAATAGGGAAGTTTGTAGTGGTGTAGCAGGTAGAATTTGAGAGGGCATATGAGGTTGGGGGCTGTCCTGCCAGAAACAGAGTTCTGTCTGCCCTTTAGTCAGTTTTGCAAAGAGATAATGTTTTGAGACCAAGGGAGGGGCAGTTGTAATAAGCTTTATCATGAATCTCTTTGGGACCATTCAAGTTATATCTCAGCTTGGCTGGTGAGAGCCCCTTAGAGCTGGTTCTACTCTTTGGTGTACTTCTGACATATCTCCATTATTCTTCAAACATTTCCTTTCATTTGGTACAGTAAACATTCCAGGTTTATCTTGTGTTTTCTCCACCCCAGCCCTGGCATTAGCCATTTTTCATAAGAGCCCTGTCTTCTTTAAGTGGAAAATGGTATTTAGAAATCAAGCTTTGGGTGCTAAGTGTAGTACTTCTTGCTTCCAGGGAGTCAGTAGTTCTACTGGGTTCTTTCAGCTGATAGAACTAGGATCTGTATGTGTGTATACACACATGCATCCATAGACTTACCTATATTTAGAGCTGTATATATGTTGAAGACCATGGAATCAAACTGATACTTCTAATTCTATCCAAACACCAAAGAATTTATTCTAGCCTTCTCCCTTTCCATATTATGTATATAACTTTCATCATCAATGAGAAACTTTACTGCCATCATCTTTAGGGTATTTACTTAAATCTCCCCTGTAAATCTCCCAGGCATGGTGGCTCACGCCTATAATCCCAGCACTTTGGGAGGCTGAGGCGGGTGGATCACCTGAGGTCAGGAGTTCAAGACTAGCCTGGTCAACATGGTGAAACCCTGTCTCTACTAAAAATACAAAAATTAGCAGGGCATGGTGGCACATGCCTGTAGTCCAAGCTACTCAGGAGGCTGAAGGAGGAGAATCACTTGAACCTGAGTGGCGGAGGTTGCAGTGGGCCGAGATCGCCCCACTGTATTCCAGCCTGGGGACAGAGTGAGACTGTGTCTTGAAAAAAAAGAAACCTCCCCTGTATGTATCCATGGAATCTTCAGGCTGCACTGGTCAAAAGCTCAACCTCAGACATACTGGACCACCCTCTCCGAGAAGGTATAATAGTAGGATGTTACCTGTGGATTTTTCCCAAATTCCCTTTACGATGTTAAGGAAATTCCCTTCTGTCCCTAGTTTGTTCAGCATTTTTATCATAAAAGAATATTGGAGATACTCTTTTGTGTAATGCTTTTCTTTTTTTTTTCTTTTTTTTTTTCCGTGATTTTTGTTTTTTGTGTTTTTTTGAGATAGAGTCTTGCTCTGTCCTCTAGGCTGGAGTACAGTGGCAAAATCTCAGCTCACTGCAAACTCCGCCTCCCAGGTACAAGTGATTCTCCTGCCTCAGCCTCCCAAGTAGCTGGGACTACAGGCACGCACTACCACACCTGGCTAGTTTTTTACATATTTGGTAGAGATGAAGTTTCACCATGTTGGCCAGGCTGGTCTCAAACTCCTGACCTCAAGTGATCCACCCGCTTCAGCCACTCAAAGTGCTGGCGTGAGCCACTGCGCCCAGTTATGTAATGCTTTTTCTAAGTCAGTAGAGATGGCTGTGTAGTTTTCTTGTTTCATTCTGTTAATGTGGTGCATTATGCTGGTTGATTTTCTTATGTTGAATCTCCCTTGCATTC